GTTGTTCATGACTATTTGAAAGGTGAAAGGGGCATTGTAAAGCCCAAATAGCATGACGAGATATTCATAATGACTGTTATGAGTGCGGAAGGTTGTCTTGTGAGTATCCGATGGATGGACTTTTACTTGGTGGTAACCCGTAGTGAGATCGAGTTTAGTAAAGAAAACAGCTCCATGGAGTTCATCCAGCATGTCATCAACTGTAGGGATGAAAAACTTGTCTTTAATGGCGACTAAATTGAGAGTCTAGTAGTCTGTATAAAACCTCTAAGTTCCATCTTTTTTGCGCACCAATAACACCGGTGAGGAGAACGAACTGCTGCTTGGTTGAATCAGCCCTGAATCAAGCATTGTATTCACGTATTTTTCAATTTCACTTTTCTGAAAATAGGCATACCTATATGGCCTTACATTGACGGGTTCAACCCTTTTCTCCAAACTGATGTGGTGATCAACGTCTCGGCAGGGAGGAATTGATTGTGGATCTTTGAAAAGATCCTGGTACTGATCCAAGAGAGCTTGCATATCTTGATGGAGGTGGATCAAAGAGGTGTTATTTTTTATCTGCGAATACACCGCAAACAAAGAGGAGTGTCGAAGCGTGATTTTGGCGACTTCTTCAACTGAAGCAATCTGGAGAGTTGGAGCGTCAAGGCCTCGTAACTGTCGCAGTCGAGCACCCCACTGGAATTCCATGGTCATCCGACCCCAATCACACATAACAATTCCTAATCCTTCCAGCTTCTGAACTCCAAGAACAAGATCGAGACCAGTTACTGGTAAAACAAAAAGAGTCAAATGAAAGAGGATACATTGGATGTTAACGAGCACATTTTCAAATCGTCCGTGACATCTCATCAGACTACCATTCGCATCTTTAACTGATCAGGCTTGAATAAGGAGTACTAGTAACTTCAGCAAGCTTGCGACTCACTCACTGATGAAGTTGTAAGTCGAGTCGCTGTTGATGAGGATGACGATGCATTGATTGTGGATGGTTGCATCAACACGCATCATTTTTGTGGTGGAACAACCAGTGAAGCATGAAGGGAAATTTCGGGCTCCTCTTCTTTCAGTTCTTTTTTTCTTCGATCCTTTTCAAGAGCAGGACTTGAGCTCAGTGACAGCGGTGGCCTGCGGTAAATTTCTAGTCGCAATTAAAGCAGAGGCCATGCATTCGACGACACTACATCTCCTCCCACGAGAGGAGCTTCAGGGCAGAATCTGTAGTTAGGGTTGGGGGGGGGGGGTTGATTGGGTTACGTCCGACCCGATTGAACCTTCTCTGTCGACCCACTTGCTCCTCCTTCATACGGGTCAAGCTGATGGCCTCTTTCAAAGATTTGGGCCTGAACATCCGAATACTTTTAGCAATTTCAGGCTTCAATCCGCCAATAAATGTACCCACCAGGGCCTTTTGAATCCACCCTCTCACTTTATTGCACAACCTCTCAATTTTTTTTTTTGATAATCTCATAAAGGCCCGATCTGCCTCACTCTAGATAGGGCTTTGTCGAAGTCTTCACATTCAGGTGGCCAAAAGCGAGCCCAGACTTTTTCTTCAAATCCTGTCCATGTCACCACTCTTCCTTCTTCGTGATAAGTCTGACGAAGCCATTATCACCAATGGT